CCGGGAATTACCCGGGAGCACCGGGGATCAATCATCCGGCAGCACCGGGATACCAGGAGGAACCGGGAATCACCCGGGAGCACCGGGAATTATCCGGGAGCACCGGGGATCAATCACCCGGGAGCACCGGGATCCCGGGAGGAACCACGAATCACCCGGGAGCACCGGGAATTAGCCGGGAGCACCGGGGATCAATCATCCGGGAGCACCGGGATCCCGGGAGGAACAGGGAATCACCCGGGAGCACCGGGAATTATCCGGGAGCACCGGGGATCAATCACCCGGCAGCACCGGGATCCCGGGAGGAACCACGAATCACCCGGGAGCACCGGGAATTATCCGGGAGCACCGGGGATCAATCATCCGGCAGCACCGGGATACCAGGAGGAACCGGGAATCACCCAGGAGCACTGGGAATTATCTGGGAGCACCGGGGATCAATCATCCGGCAGCACCGGGATCCCAGGAGGAACTGGGAATCATCCGGGAGCACCGGGAATTATCTGGGAGCACCGGGGATCAATCATCCGGCAGCACCGGGATCCCGGGAGGAACTGGGAATCATCCGGGAGCGCCAGGAATCATCTGGCAGCACTGGAATCATCCAGGAGCACTGGGATCATCCCGCAGTACTGTGCTATAGATAAAAATTGGTCCAGCCAAATAAAAAATGAAAAATGACAAATTTTATTTAGGATGAAATTCTATCTGAGCCAGCCACAAGGAAAAGGACAGTGCTGAGCCCGGGTTCGGTGCTGGGTGCGTGACAGGAAGGAGCCTCTCGGCAGAGGTTCCCCTGGACACACACACCGCCTTCCTGGACCCTGCAGTTCTTATAGGAAATGTTCTGCCCGAGGCCAGGATTTTGGAAATCTGCCTTTTCTTTTCATTCAGAGTCCCACATCTTCATAAAGTTCTTTTCTCTGAGTCGAGGTTGAACAATCCAGGTCCAGGTGTGGACAATCCTCCCTGATGGAGTTACGGGAACCGTGGCATTCAGATGTATCAGCCCGGAGGATTCCAGCGATCCCAATCTCGGGTCATTACCGGGATGAACAACGCCTGGGCATTCCAGTATTGCCTTGTGGAACAGCTCATCTCTGGGCGAGCCACATGTACTAAATTGCAGATGAGGCTTTGTCCAAGAAGACCGGTTTATTTGATGTAACAAGTATGTGGGGGCAGCTCTCAGTGCTGGCACGTGTGCTTGCAGTAACAAAATATCACACGTGTCAAATCATGTTTCCTGTAATCAAATATAACAATATTACATTGGCGCAAATTATAACCGACATACGTATCAGCTGGGATCATCCGGGAACTGGAGTCATCCAGGAGCACCGGGAATCATGTGGCAGCATCGGGATCATCCGGGAGCACCGGGGTCATCCAGGAGCACCGGGAATCAATCATCCGGGAGCACCAGGATCATCCAGGAGCACCGGGATCATCCAGGAGCATCGGGATCATCCGGGAGCACCGGGGTCATCCGGCAGCACTGGGAATCAATCATCTGGGAGCACCAGGATCATCCGGGAGCACCGGGGTCATCCGGCAGCACCGGGAATCAATCATCCGGGAGCACCGGGATCATCCGGGAGCACCGGGATCATCCAGGAGCACCGGGATCATCCAGGAGCACCGGGATCATCCGGCAGCACCACAATGACCCCACTGAACGGGCACGAGGCCAGAGTGGTCTGCAGTCCTGGTGCTCTTTGATCTTCCCTGCCCTCAAGTGATTCCCACTCGGTGAGCAGCAGAGCTGAGCTGGTGAAACAAAGGAGGGCCATGAAATCTGGGAATGGGCTCTCCCTGCCATTCCAGACGCTGCCCATGGCCTGCCTGTCCCACCTGGCCGTGCTCCTGGAACACGCCAAAGACACCAGCTGGGTGCACATGCCATACCCACACCCAGCCCCAGGACACAGCGAGGGGAAGCCAGTGGAGATGCGACCTTCAGTGCCCAATTAGTCAGAGGTGGGGCAGCCTTAAACCCTGGGGAAATGCCCAGCAGGACAGCACTAATGCACAGTCCCATAAATCATGGCTGAGGGGTGGCCTGGGGTGTTCTCCCTGGCCATGGTGGCATTGTGAGCCATTCAGGAGCATCAGGTGGAGCTTCCCTTGTTCCTGAGTGACTCATGAAAGCACTGAACGCTGAGGGTCTTGCATTGTGAGCCCTTCAGGAGTCAGAACTGGAGCTTCCCTTGTTCCTGAGTGACTCATGAAAGCACTGAATGCTGAGGGTCTTGCATTGTGAGCCCTTCTGGAATTGGAGCTGGAGCTTCCCTTGTTCCCAAGTGACTCATGAAAGCACTGAATGGATGAGGGTCTTGCATTGTGAGCCCTTCTGGAGTAGGAGCTGGAGCTTCCCGTGTTCCCAAGTGACTCATCACAGGAGGCCTCCGGGGAGCACAGCAACCTGGAGCGCGGCGAACAGGGTCACAGCAGTTTGCGCAGGCATGGCAAGCAGGCAAGGTTGCAGGTTCTCGCTAGTCAGGTGAGGTGTTTTCACTTGCTGCTTGATTTTGGGCTTTCTCCTAGCAATGGTTTTAACACGTTTGAAATCTGTGGTTGGTACAAGTGTATGTGACCAAGTGGAGCCCTCCAAAAAGGATGTGTGTGTACAGAGCCATTCCTGCCTGGAGGGTTTGCGCTTGCCCATGGTTTCGGGGGGTGCTGTGGAGGAGGCCTGCCTACGGTGTGAACAGGTGAATGACCTCCTCTTGCTGGTGGCCGAGCTTACGGAGGAAGTCAAAAGATTAAGGAGTATCAGGGATAGTGAAAGGGAAATAGACTGGTGGAATTCAGCCCTTACATCTTTAATGGAGGCCCACCAAGAGTCAGAGGACTCCTGTGCCTCTCACTCCCAGGCAACAGAGGGGCACCTGGTAGATGAAGGGGAGTGGAAATGGGTCCCTGCTCGGGGAGGTAATAACAAAAATCCCTCCTGCCCCCATCCCCTAGCCAGGTGCCACTTCAGAATAGGTATGAGCCCCTGGATCTGGAGAGCCAGCCAGATGATTTAGAAGAATATTATCTGCCCAGTGAGCCTCCCAATTATGACTCATCTAAAAAACGGATTGGCACCTCTAACATCAAAAAGGAAAGAAGGGCAATCGCGGTGGGTGACTCCCTTCTGAGGGGAACAGAAGGCCCCATATATCAACCAGAGCCACCCCACAGAGAGGTCTGCTGCCTCCCTGGGGCCCGGGTATGGGATATCACCAAGAGACTTCCTGGGCTGATTCTGCCCTCTGATTATTACCCACTGCTGATACCCCAGGCTGGCAGTGATGAGATTGAAAAGAGGAGTGTCAGGGCAATTAAAAGGGAGTTCAGGGCACTGGGACAGGTGGTTGATAGGACAGGTGCACAGGTGGTGTCTGCTCAGTCCCTTTGGTGGCAGAAAAAAACAATGAAAGA